GTCAAGGCCGTGCTCTCTCTAGTGATAACGCATGTATCGCTACACCTGTATGTTGTATTTTTGTGTTTCTGTTATGGTTTCTCTTCAGATTTCCCAAATGATGCGGGTGTCGGAATTGTTGCCTGTCACCTTTGGATAGAGGCCAAGGTAACTTATCCCTCTTTTTGAATAAGGTCGAAAGGGAAGCATAGCATATGAAATCCAAAAATAGTTTTAAACCTCAATTTTATTCTATAGTCCTGTTGTTTTTCGTAGTGATCGTTCCTTAATTTCTTATCCTGACTAAACATATTACTTTCCAAAGTCTATATTGTCAATCCCATACAGTGAAAAATGCTACTTTCAGATTGAATTCAGGCCTGCAACGATAGCGTTAAATAATGCATAATACAAAGTCCATTTCACATATTTTAAATATTTATATTATAGACTCAAAAAGCGCATCATATTATCATTGAGAAAATTCTTAATAGCTACGAAGAGTAAATGGGTTTCTATGAATTTCCTGGAATATAATTATTGGGTAGACTTCACTTTCACATGAAAGTGCATAAGTAGAGACTCGAGGGTCGATCTCACCAGAAAAGGATGGCTGATTCCTGTTGTCTTCAAAGTGGCCCTCATACTTTATTTTTTTATGCCACCTTTTGGATAGCACTATGACTCATTATCAAGATTCGGGTGGTGCAAGATTGTGTACTCCTGTGGTCGACCTTATGTTGGTGAGACATGTCGGCTTATTCGACAAGGATTGGAGAAACACACTAAATGCCTGTAAAGACAGCTTATTCAAATGATCCGAAGTGGCCGACAATGCAGGCCATAAGCTGGACACGAGATTGTATGGTCTCAAAACTAGTAGGTTTGCTGTTTATGATACGCCTGTTGTTAAAAGGAAGATAAGAGGATATTGAAAGTATTAGATTAAGGAATACGTTGAATGCGGGGAACCGTGGTAGAAAGTTGATTAGGGTCTACTTATGCTTGATTGGTAGTGTGCAGGAGAGAGAGGGTGCTGAGTCGCCGTCCAAAAGAAGGCGACTCAACTTGCCCGATCAGTGATGCTTTTAACTTACTGACATTCGTCTGAAATATTAAACTGAGTTCATTAACCAAACCAGACATACGAGATTACGCAGCCCTAGTCATACCTTTTCTTATGTCATTAAACTTTAATGACTCTAGACTAAGAGGTTAGGACACGTGGTTTCGTAGTCTTACTCACACATTTACACGCTTACATCTCATACTCTCAATCGGACTACGCAGTCTCGATCAGGGATTTTTCTTGGGTCATTCATCCTTGATGACAAGAGTCTGGCATAAGCCTTTTTTGATCGCTCTGATTTAGGACCAGTATTCCGTATAGGTGGTCCTGCAAAAGTAGCAGGACTAATACGAAAGATAATTAGTAAAATTATTTTATATCTACATATGCCTATTAAGTTATTTTTGCTTAATTGAGTCTATTTAAGAGGTAAGATAGAGTAGGA